AGGGCTGCAGGGGTCTATTGACTTTTGGTGCTTTCTCTCTAATCCAAAACGTTATCTGCTGAGCACAGGCAAATAGCAGCCCAGCCATGGGGCCAGTGCTGCAGGAGGCCAGGCCTGCGACCCACTTCTCCAAGGTACGTGAAAATGTCTTCAAACACATGTGAGGGTCCTGTGGACTCAAAGGAGAGCAAATGATTGGAAAGGATAACAAGTTCTTCCTCATTCAAAACCCTGGAACCAACATTTCTCCCAGAGGATGGCCTGTTGGCGGCTTGAGAAACTTTGTTCTTGAGAGACATTGTTATTCAGCATCCGGAAGCCGTAAAATGATAGAGACCAAATTGGCAATCTTAGAATCTGACAGCACTGCACTTTTATGATCCTTTTTAATGTTCTGAAGACACTGGATAAATTCCCGATTACTCTTCAGACCTTGAAAATAATACCCTTGTTTTTAAGAAACATAAATATATAACCACCAGTCAGCAGCAGATTTTTCCAAGTGCGTTTCCTCACCCAGGCTCCCTGTTCACATTTGAAAGCTGCTGTGGTCCAGACTCATTGGAAATGCTCAGCCTCTCTAAGACAGGCACGGCTCTCCTTATGAAAATGGAATCCACGGAATGGATGGGTTTCCGAGTGGGTGATGTTGCAGGGACCCACAGGGACAGGGATCAGGACCCAGATGAGAGCTGCCCATGGATCTGACCTGGTGGCCCACAGGTGTCTGAGCCCAGCCGCCCCAGGTGATAGCTCCCAAAGTGAGGTAGAATTCTATCCAGCCTGCTGTGTTGGTCAGGCGGCTGCTGGCACACCTGTGCGGAGAGCTGTCATTTAGCTCAGCATAACCCGCATGGAGGGAAAGAAGCAGTTCTGTAGGAGAGAAACACCATGCAGCTCTCGCCAGGATAAAAGCAAGGGGCCCACCAAGCTGTGTTCCTTTCTGGAGGCACTAAGGGAAACATTTTTCCTTGCCTTTCCCAGCTTCCAGGGGCTCCCACATTCCTGGGTTGGTTGCCTGTTTCTCCCTCCATCCAGGTGAACAACATTGCAACGCCCTGTGCCCTTCTTCCAGTGCTAAATGGTCTTCTGATGCCCACCTTCTGCGGTTCCTACACATTCAGGGATTTGTAGGATAAGATGGGTCCTACCAGGATAATCCAGGATAATTTGGATTGTCAAGGTCCCTAACTTGAATCACATCTGCAGAATCCTTTTGGTCAATATAAGGTAACATGTAGTAGGTCCCAGAGATTTGGATCTCAACATCTTGGGGCTGGGCATTCTGCCCACCACAAGCAATAATCAGTCGTAAGGGAACTCTCAGCCATCAGATCGACAGGACACTCGTGCAAGGAATCTGAAGGTGTCTTATTTGCTTTTTAAATGCCAGGCTTGATATGTTAAATCTCCCTGTGCACATAGAAAACAGAGGACTAAACTTCAAGTATGGAGAAGAGTCTAAGAAATGCAGGTCACCCAAGACCTGAGAAAATAAACAATCCTTGGGGATTGATCCAAGAGAGCTGAGAGGAGGAAATTTCCCAGGCATCTATAAAAAGCACAACACAAATTGCCAGCTGATCTCAAGACAAAAGAAAGCTATAGAGCAACTTCTTAAAAGTCACTGTTAAGTGCCAATAAATGGAAAGGTGAAAAATGAAAATTTCCCAGGTCTGTATTCAATAAGACTCAACCTATTGAATAGATATCACCCACATCCTCCCCCAACCCTGGCTCAGATTTTCAGCTAAACATGCTGAAGAAACACTGGTTGGATTTAATGCAGTCCTTTAAGCCTGTGTCTTTGCCAGAGCCCAGGGGCTTTGTGTTTAGCAGAACACATTTGTGCTGCAAATGGACATTCTGAAAGGTAAGCTGTGAAGTGTCAACTTGAATTCTTTTGCTTTTTATCAATTTCAATGCTTTCAGTAAGTTATCAGAGAGCAAACAAAGGGGTTCTGCTTCCTGGGAGAGATTCCAATTGATGTAACTAGCTCCAAATCAGACCCTGTACAATTATATAGCAATTACACCTTAGGAAGCCTTGACACAGGACAATGGTTACTGAAGACAAATTCTGTAAAACAAACAAACAAAACCTACAGAAAGGGGAAAATGACAGGAACCTCTGTGATTAGGTTTCTGCAAGGGTTTCTTTCTAGTCTGACCCTGAAAAAAAACATCAGAATGTGAAATAGGTGTTTGGGACTCTCCAGACTATCAACACCAAGACCTGCATATAACTGAATAGATGAAAGAAAGGATATTTCCCAAAAGAAGTGGGAAGAGAGAGAAAGGAGTATGTCCAAGCCCTGCTTTAGAGCATCTCAAATCCTGTGCAGGCCCATTGGGTCCATGGCTGAAACCACTGCACCTTAAACAAAGAAAAACCCTTTGGGTTTTTGGAACCAACTAATTGTTTTTTCCACCCACACTTTTTTAAAAATTGGTGCATTATAGTTGTTCATATGATGGGATTTATTGTTACATATTCATACTTGCACAAAGTGTAACAATAGAATGTGTCTGATATCCCTCCCTAGTGTTCCCCCTCCCTTCCCACCTCCACCTTTTGGACCCTTTCTTCTAGTGACTTCTCTCTGATTTTGATGAGCTCTGTCCCCAATTTTCTTTTTCTTTTTACTCTCTAGCTTCCGCATATGAGAGAAAACATGTGCCCCTCGGCTTAAAAGGATTCTGACTTATATTTCCCATTGCATGATAGTCTCTAGTTCCATCTATTATCCTGCAATGACATAATTTCATTGTTCTTTCTGGCTGAACAAAACTCCATTGTTTATGTCCACCACATTTTCTTCATCCATCCATCTGTGGGTGGACACCAAGGCTGTGGAACCATGGATTCTTTACAACAGTTGGAATGCTGTGGGTTATTCATTCATTGGTTAATGCTCATTGGCAAATTGAAAGCAGCCTGGTGCTGCACTTACTGAAGTTTGGATGAACAAGGTGGTCAGGCTCTCTCCTTTCAGGAAGCACACAGTCAAGAGGGCATGCGGCCTCCCAAGCAGATGTCTTACACAAAACACACTGAAAGTCTGGAAAAACAAACCTCAAAAGAGGAGGGAGAAGTGACTGCAGAGAGCAGGTCTGGAAGGCCACGGGTCAGAGGAGAAGCACACTTGGCATTTTATCAGCTGTGCTCACCACGTGGTGCAGTCTCAAAACCACACTCCTCAGCCTGTGTCCTTTGACCAACATCTCCCCTTGATGCCCCCAGCTTCTCCCAACCTCCCCCAGAATAAGCATGGGTGATGGATATGTTAATTAGCAT